ACACAGAGGGTGTTTCAGATCTAATGCAACACCTGGCAGATTTCCCAAATTATTTCGAGACTAAAATTCTAATACCAAAATGTTGAGGCTATAATAGTTTTTGAATTATAATTATTTAAAGTTAGCAAATTATACACTGAAAGAAAAGATTGGTTGCTGCAACAACTTAAATAGTAAAATATAACGTAGCATTTTTATATATTACAAGTTTTTGTAACAAATATTTATTTTTTGCGTTAGCCTATCGAAATTATATACTGACATTGCGGATAGGCTAGCACAACTAAAAATTTGCTGCTACAACCAAAAATTGCTGCAGCCATATAAAATTGCTATGCCATATTTTACTATTTAAATTGCAGCAACCAATCTTTTTTTTCAATGTATCATCTAAAATTTGCGCATTTAGGTATAGTACAACATAAAGTATTAAATATAAAAGCTAATAGTTATCTTTGTTAATATCAATATAAATATAACGTATGCAAAAATAAAATTACTGATATTTCTAATCCTGGATTTATTAAAAAAATATTTAATTTAGACATTATGGTATTAAATTTTCACTTCAAAATAACTTCAGGAATCTACTATTAGCAGGTTGGTGCGTTAAATCTAAAACATTCTGAGTGTATTTATATTTAGGTAAGTTTATAAAATGATTATTAGAACATTGTATAAAAGAACTTTTTATTAAAAAATATTATAACTAAATTATTGTATTGTTACATGTTGCAAAGCAAATAATAAAATTTCTAATTATGTTATTAAAAATCTTCTAATTTCATAAAGATAGCTTTGACTTTATAAAGATAGCTATTATTAACTTCTTTCCCGTCGCGAATGTTTTCTTAAACATTAATTTAAATTATAGAGAGACCTAAAATCGGTCTTCGGATACCGCCTATTTTCCCACCTTTTACTCACTCGATTTCGTCACAAGTGGTTGGAGGTGAAGAAGCAGAAGTAGGAAGTTATCCGTTCATAGTTTCCCTCCAAATATTCTCCCAACACTTTTGCGCCGGATCCATCTTGAACGAAAAATGGATTATAACAGCAGGGCATTGTATTAACAACGTTCCTATTTTAAGCATTCTTCGCGTCAAGGCTGGAAAGTACAATCTTAAACTTACAGAGAATACCGAACAGACAGTCAAAGTGGTGAAAGCTTATGTACATGAAAATTATAAACGGTAAGCAGAAATTGAAAGTAGTAAATACGAACAATTAATTCTTATATGAATGTCTTTCTGTTTAATATAGAATCTATGTTCTATTTATAATTGATTTCTAATTGTATATAAAGGTAATCTAAAACATAATTTTGTATTAGTAATCAATAGTTCTTTTTATAGAAAGAGTGCAATAATCGAAATAACGATTAGTCGCAGCATTGATATTAATATCGCGATTAGCATTTGATACTTGGAATTAGAAAACTATATTTTAAATAAGTAATGATATACAGATTATTTTTCGAGATTTGTTGCATTATACATGTATACATGGAATTTCTATTAATTTTACAGACTATTATTATTCTTCCACTATAATTTTTTTTTTAGTATTACTACATTAATTTAAAACATATGTTTATGCAAAAATGCATAATTAATTAGTATATAAAGTATAAATTAAATTATAGAGGAGTATAAATTAGTTCGGTCCGTTTCCCTAAAGATAACTCCAGCTGTTGTGAATGGTTCATAGTGACAGCTGATTTTGGCAGTTTCAGAGAAGTTAAACATGCTAATAATATTCAGTTTATATCGCTTTGAATTTCATACAAAAACCTTGATTTTTACTGGTTTGAAATGTCGAATTTTGTGTTAAAGTAACCAAGCAGTATTTGCGGGATTGATTTTCTCCTTTAATTGGAAGGAAAGTACGGCTGAAGTCGCATCGAATGCTTGTCGAAGTTTATGGTAACACTGCTCCAACTGATAAATCATGTAAGGAATGGTTTCGACGTTTCAAGAATGGAGATTTCAGCGTTGAAAGCAAGCTTCGCTCTGGACAGCCAAAAAAATTCGAAAACAAAGAATTAGAGGCATTACTCGAAGAAGATCAGAGTCAAACGCAAAAGGAGCTTGCAGAATCATTGGGGATAACTCAACAAGCCGTTTCTATACGATTGAGAGCCATGGGAATGATTCAAAAACAAAGAAATTGGGTGCCTTATGAACTGAAATCGAGAGACGTTGAAAGGCGATGTTTCACTTGCGAACAGCTGATTCAAAGACAACAGAGAAAAGGTTTTTTTGCATCGGATTGTGACTGGAGATGAGAAGTGGATATTCTACGACAACCTCAAGAAGAAAAAATACTACGCTAAGCCCGGTCAATCGTTGCCATCGACCTCAACATCAACACCACGACCGAACATTCATGGTTCGAAGATCATGCTCTGTATCTGGTGGGACCAAAAGTCTTGTTTACTATGAGCTGCTGAAATCTGACGATTCCATTACGGGCGATCGGTATCGGCTACAATTAATTCGTTTGAGTCGTGCATTGCGAGAAAAACAGCCGGAATACGACCAAAGATACGAGCAAAAACATGATAAAGTTATTCTTCTTCATGACAACGCTAAGCCTCATGTCATAAAAAAATATTTGAAAACGCTCAAATGGGATGTTTTACCGCACCCGCCGTATTCTCCGGACATTGCTCCTTCTGATTACTGGTTGTTTCGAAGGATGCAAGTTCACTTCTTTTGCAGAAATCAAAAATTGGCTCCAAAATTGGATCGCCTCCAAAAACGAGTCATTTCGAAATGA